CCCCCCCCCCCCTGCTTGTGCATCTGCTCTCCGAGCATCACTGCCATCGGCCTCCTGCGACTCTGCGGCCCCCTCGCCTTCCTGCTGCTGCTCTTGCTCTCCTCCTCTTCTCCTTTGCCAAGTTCCAGCTCCCTCCCTGTTCATCTCCTCCCCGCCCTGCGCCCCAACCCACCACTGTCCTTCAAGGCCTGCTCCTTCCCCTTCCTGCCCAGGGCGGGAAAGAGGCAGGGCCGATGGAAGCTGAGGGGAAGGGAGGTGGGGACCTTGCCCCAGTGGGGCTGGGGGCGAGATGGACCTGAGTCTGTTACAAGTGCCTTAATCCGAGCCAGCGGGCCCTGTGCTTGCCTGCTGCCCTATTCGTGCCGTGGGCCCCGTGTGTGCTGTGGGCCCCATGCGTGCTGTGGGCCCCATGCTTGCCGGCTGCCCTACTGTGTGTAGGAACGTGTGCTGTGGTTGCTTTGTGTCCTGTAGAGAGTGGCTCCTCTCAGGAGTCCGATTCCCCTCCAGCCGAAGCAGAGGCTGGCTGCTCCGTTGGGTGCTTGCAAGCAGGCCCAGCAGTGGCTCAGCCCCGGGGGGGGGGGGGGTTTCAGGGACCTGAGGACAAAGGACTTGTCTGCGGAGCTCAGGCGGCCTCCATCTCTCCACTCCCGCCACTGCCACCGCCCAGAGGGGCTGCTGATCAGGCCACTCCCAGGGCCTGGGAGGGTCACGGAGCAGACACACCGAGATGGCCCCCCTTCCCTTCACATGCTCTGCGGGGAGCAGGGAGCCTGCAGACCCCCCTGAGGCTCCTGTGGGGTGGGTACCCTCCTCTGCCTGCCGGGCATGTGACACACGTGACATGGAGAGTGACCACGTGCCAGTTCTTACTGTCAAGGTTTGAGGAGGAATCACGGCTGGAGTGATACGTGTTTTTATCAGCACTTGGTGGTTTTAAATAAAGTGCACGCAGTGTCATTGCCTGGTGCCGCCTACATGCACCCGCAGTCTGGACGGCTTTGATTTCCCGCCACAGCTGAACCCACCCCGTGGTCCCACCCTTTCTCCCGGCGCTGAGCGAGGCTGGGGAAGGGAAGGAGGGAGGGGGTGGGAAGGAAGACTGGTACCAGGTACCCTCCCCTCCGGGAGCGTGAGGAATGCGGGAGGCCTGCCCCCATTCCAAGCCTCCCAGGAGCTGACTGGCACCCCACCCCTGCCCGTCCCTTTGTGCAGGAGTCAGAGGCTGGCCCTGAGCCAGGAGACTTGCGCCTCCCTCCTGGCCCCACAGACGGGTTTCCTGCGCTGGGTTCCTCACCCTGCCCGTAGCTGGGCCCAGTTACTCCACGGAGGGCCTGGGCGGGTTTCCTTTTGTAAGCTTCCCTGGAGGAGCTGCTGTTCAGCCAGGCGCCCTGCTCTCGACCCTCCCAACGGCCTAGCAGGCCAGCCTGGCCCGGAGGCTGCCGGGACCCGGGAGGCTGGGACCTGGGAGGCCGGGACCTGGGTGGCCGGGACCTGGGAGGCAGGCCTTCTCTGGGGAGCAGAGGCAAGTCCTCACACTTCCCGCGCCCACAGGCCTGTCCCTGGGTTGGGGCTGGGCATGAAACTCTAGCCGCCTGCACCTGGAGTCCTCCCTCCCCGGTCAGGGCAGGCCACATGGTTGTCACCCGGCCCCATTTCACCGCGGTCCCCCTTGTCCTTGAATTCGGGTCACGATTCGGGGTCCGCCGCCTTTACAGGTGAGCTGCGTGGGGAGGGGGGAGGCAGAGGGGTGGCCGCCTCCTCGGTCCGGAGCTTCTGAGACCGAGCGCACGGACGCGTCCTGTCCCTCTTGGTGGGCAGTGCTGGGCAGTGTCCAGGGAAGCG